GGACGCTAAAGCCCGCCGCCTCTGAAGGCCGCCTCTCGGCTCGCACTTACCCGGTGCCCAGCGAGTGGCCCCACAGGCACACAGGGGTGCCGCCGCTTCTCGCTTTGGCCCACTGATAGATGCAAATAGCATCCACTGCCAGCCCCCGCTCCGTGGGTCTCCCCGTGGAGTCCCCGAACCCTGGCGGGAGGAAAAGGCAATCAGAATATCATTCTTTGCAAACACAGGTGAACGCTTTCTGAGCACTGAGACCCCTTCGCATGCTGTTCTTACCACCCACCTCTGTAGTCCACAGACAGGACGTGAAAGCCACCATCACTCAGCACCTAGACGACAAAGGAGCTCAAATGATTAGAAGATGGGAACGGAGACGTCTCCTCCACACATCCAGGTCCCCTGGCTGCAACCATTTAGTAGGTGGGGAAACTGTACTTTTGAAATCTGGTGTTTGGCCTCATGCTTGAGACCAGGCTCCAAGGGGTGTCACACAGCCAGGCAGAGCAGGAACCAGACAGCTGGGTCACACCCGAGCCCTGCTCTTGACACCTGCGACCTCGGCCACCACATCACCTCACGCTGAGGTGTGAACTGTTATTCCGAGAAATGAAAACAAGGTCACCTTCCAGGTTGTGGGGAGGATTGCATGGGTGTGTCACAGACTGACAGCACGGAAGTGTCTTTCTTAAGAGTTCCCCGAGAGGGGGCTGGGGCTCAGCGGCAACCCCTGCCTGGTAGGTGTGGGGACTCCGGGGCTGAACCCCAGCATTGATAAAGGGAGGGAGAGAGGGGGAAAAAGGAAGGAGGGAGAGGAGAGATGGAAGGAGGAAGGAACGAAAGGAAGGAGGGAGAGAGGGAGGAAATCCTGCAGAGTCGCAGTGGAGTGAACCAATGGGAAGATATTCACATTATATATAATCAGGCAAAGAGTTGAGTCCAATCAGAAACAAAGAATTATTTCACTTATTATTTTCAAAGGCTCAAGGTGAACCATGTCCTTCTTTATAGCACAGTGGCTCTCATGAGTAAATACCACCCTTTCGTTATCCAGCCATCTGTTGATGGACCTATAAACCAACACAAAAGTTTAAATAATGCTTAATTTCTCTTGTGCGAGAAACCCAAATGATAAAGAAAGAGCAGAAAGCAGGGAGGTAGGTCCTTCTCAGACGAGAAGGGGACTAGGAGCTGGAGGGATGGGAAGGAGGAACAGGAAGCGAGGCTGAGTTGTGCGCTAGCTCCTCCCTAGGCGTGGAAGCCCCGCCCACCACAAACCTAGGCTAATAAATAGTCCGCTGGGACATTCGCAACCACTATCAGGCTCCTCGTAGATAAGAAGGAAAGAATATGAAAGCCTTACACGGAATGCAATACAATCACAGACAAAGAGCGCGGCTTGAAATGGGCTAGGGTTTTACTACATGGACACTTCAAATTTTTTTTAATTTAAAATGAGGATAATGTTTACCCAGTCGATCTGTTATGAGGGTTAAATACAGTTTTTCAAGTGCTTCTGGACAATTAAATGTTGTGCCTTTGCTTTTTGTCTCCAAGCAAAAATAAATCACTAAATAAGGAAAATAAAATAACAGGAAATCAAGCACTGGAGAATTTCAGTATTTGTCCAGAGTTGCACAATTGGTTAGAGACAGAACAAAAGCCACATCCGGGCAACTGTCTATTCTAGTCTGTAGCGGGCAGCACTTGTGCATGCGAACCGAGGTAATGTCACAAACTAAATGGAGCCCTTAAACGTCAGTGCAAGCTCTGCTCCTGTCAAAGCATCCCTGGCAGCGAAGCACCCAGAAAATGGAAATTCGCATGCACTGCCTGAGCCTTCTGTCGGGGGAGCCTTGACAACAGGACTCAAGAAGGACAACAAACCCTTAGAATTTGCCACTAGGAAATACACAAAGAAGAAGGGGGAAAGAAAAGTAGATGCCTATGAAGCAGCTATTTAAAATGATTTCAGAAAAAAACAACTTCATTCCAACATTAGTGGCATTGTTAGGTAAACAGTTACTTAAAAATAGACAATGACGCAGCCCTTAGTTCTGAGGACTTACAAAAACATAGAAAAATGCATATAAAAGAGTATTAAGTAAAAGGGCACAACATGGAACTATATAAAGATACAGTCATAATGACAGAACCTTATAGAATGAGAGAAAGATCGGGTCAAATAAATAAATGAAAGCTGTTGCATTTGGTGCTTGAAAGAATGGAAGGAAAAAAGAAGAAAGGAAAGGAGGGAAAGAAGAAAAATGAAACAGAGGAAGTCAAATTTTACAAGATTTATTTTTAAAAGAAATCACCTATCCAGAGGAGGAAAAGAAGCCTGTCATGTCAGGCAGGGATGACACAGCTCTTGCTGACCAAATGTAGCTGGGGACAGTCCTGTCATACCAGCCGCCATCCTTCCTACCCATCCTGCTACCACCGGGACGAGCTGGCTGCTCTGCTTTCTAGAGACAGCGAGGATGTGCAATTCGGCTTGAGCGAGAGGGGAGCGGTGTGTAAGGCCATGGACAGCCAGGCCTGCATACCCCGAGTGGGGAGAACAAAGAGCCAGCGGTAGAGTGAGGTAAACCTACAAAGAAGGGGGCATCCTGCTCCCCAGAGGACAGACTCGTCCAGCCACCACTGCCAGGCCCGGAGCGGCTCTGACCAGAAAGTGATTGGGAGGAGGGGAGCCTCTGTCAGTCATACATGGTGCAGGAGATACTGAGGCAGCACTACAGGCCCCGGGGACACCATTATACTGTCAGGCCCATGAGGGGAGGAGAGGCAATTCTGGGGTCTGTAGTGGAAAAGCCGTCCAGATGACCTAACTGGAGAGGGGCAACCAATCAACATGCAGCCCGCCCCAACCCTCAAGAAAAGCACAAAATAAAAAACAATGACAAGCGTTTTCCACTTCCAGAGATAAAGGAAGTAAGTTCATGAATGTGTTTGGCCACATCCATGTCAATCCCTACTGGCCAACGTCAGAAGAGAAGTCCACACACGACACTCTGGTCTCCTGCACCACTGCCCACCCTGGCCAAGACCCTGGGCCCTAGCAGGACCACAATCCTGAGGACATAGCCTAGGCCAGAATCAGCGGGGACTTAGGAACCAGGAGCTCCAAAGCCCCCTAACCTACCTTTATCCGCTTACACCTGTGAGCAGTACCCCTGTATGGGATGTTAAAGAAAAAAGCAGGAATTAGGAACCACACATTCAATAAAAACCACTCTTATGCTGCTTGCTTCCCATCTCACACCTTGCTTCTTTGGGTGAGAGAAATAAGTAACTAGAGAAAGAGAGATGTTTCTTTCTTCTTTTGTGGCCTACTCAGCCCACCCTGGGGGCAGAGCTGGCGCGGCACATGGTGTCGGAATCAAACTGCAGTCCCTGCGCTTGTCTAAGCTTGCCTAAGCAGGCACTTTATATGGCTGAGCTATGGATGAGCTATCTCACCAGCCTTGAGAGATGTTGCTTGGAAACAGTGCCGGTTCCTGTGTGGCTGGTGGGTGACACATGGCTCCCCTTGGCTGCAGTGTATTAGTGCCTCCAGGAGCACTGGGCACTGGGTATCTGAGTCTCTGGGGCTCCTCAGCCCGAGCGCCTCATGGATTCCTCATAATCCATCTCCTTTCCCTTCGTGCAGCACAACTTATCTCTGAAAACAATCTCAGAAGCTAAAGGGAAAGTAAGCTCCAAAAGTAGCTTTTTCAGAAAAAAGAAAGAAAGAAACAAAAGAAAGCATGGTGCTGTCAAGTTGCACTGAATTAAAATGTGCCTGTGTCCCATCCTGAAAACCATCAAAGGTGAAGTGAAGCAAAGGGGACAGGTTGATCACCCTAGAGATACAAAAAATTTTCCCCAGAATGATCACATTGGCTATTACTACATTAACAAAAGAAAGTAAGTGATTCAAGACACTGACTTTCATTAAAAATTCATTTAAAGTTTGCCTTAGAGGCAAATTTCTTAAACTTTGGGTAACACCTTTTGAACATTAGTGATAAAAACTCACAACTCATTTCCTAGGGGAGAAAAGTGCACCCACACTTTAAATTATATGTATAATTGGAGGCAGGAAGTTCGTGGACCCTCTGTGGTTCCATGGATTCCCAAGTCCACAGCCACTATTTGTAATGTATTAGCAAGGCCACTGTAATGCTCAGTACCCAGTACTTACAGCTCAGTGTTACTGATTGCCAGCTGAGACTTCCAGGCAGAGGACAAGAGGAAGCCAGGGATAAGCCCAGAGCAAGCCTGGGGCCACTGAGAATCATCTCAGATCTATACAGAGGTACAGATGTGGCCATATACCCACATGGTACTCAAAGTAATACCAGATCCAAGTTTACAATATGAGAAAATTATCAGAATTCACAGACGATCCCAGGAAATGTGATTGTAAAATGGACACATCAAGAAAGCCCCTTGAGGAACAGCAAGATTTGGAAAAGCCATCAGCTGACAAAAGAAGACAGTGAGAAAGTGAGAGCAAGGCAAGCTAGCCAAGAGGTTGATTCCAGAGCTTGTCCCTGACTCTGAAGGGTGTCCTCCTAGAGGCAGAGAGAGACCAGGGATTTCTGAGCCACACTGCCCCTCCCCAGGCTGAGGAAGACCAGTCATGGCCAATAATCATCACCCAGTGCAATTACCCAGGCCCAGGAAGGCTTTCACACCACATCAAGGGATAGCCAGGCTTCTGGGAGACTGCTGTCTTCACTACTAAGCCAGGCAGACACCACAGTGAGTGGGTTGAGGCATGAGTATTCTAGACTAGAATTCACCAGATGCTCGCTGTATGTGTGGTCAGAGTTCCATGTGATTTTCCTAGGAGTCATCTTTTTTTTTTTTTTTTTTTTTGAGTCATCTTTTTTGATTAACAGAATTAAAGCTAATAAAGTACCCTCCATTGCAGTCTTCTGCAAAGACCACTGATGCAATAATTGTCTCTTTTTCCCCATAATGTAGGCCTAGTCTCTTTCCAGTCATCTGTGGCTTTGTCAACCTAAACAATCAGAGTTTCTCTGAAAAACATTTGAAGAATATTTGGGACTAGCAGATCATTGCAATGGGAATCCCTGTGCCACAGCACTATTCAAAGAGGTGGAGGCACAGGGAACATTTTAAGGCAAAATGAGAACTACACAAGCCTTTGAAATAATAATCCTTGCCTACATGGATTAGTTGAAGGGTGGCAACAGTCTGTGGTTGAACAGTTAACCCTGGTGTGCATGCCCTTGCACACATATTTGTTGTGTAAAGCTGCAGTGGCCTGTGTGCAAGGCTGTGGTTTTGGTGGAATATTTGGGAATAGTTGTTATGAAGCATACATGCATGAAATCCCCTCCCTCAAAACTTCATGGCTTGTCTGCTTTCATTCTTGGCTAGGCCTTGACAAAAACAAGTTGATTTTGCTCCTGACAAAAGGTTCAGTCGGCCATTTTGGATAGTCTCAGGGAGTAAACGAACCACCACCTTCTTTAAAATGAATTTCCAGATTTGGGAAGAATTATTCTTTTCTCCCTCTTGGTTAAGGAGCCACATGATTCTACCTATAGAACAATCTTGTCAAGAGAAAGCTTTTGCTAGAGCACTCTCAGATTTCAACAAAGAAAAAGGAACCTGTGAAGGTTGCTGACAGAGTTGAAAGCCCAGCCCTGCCTTCACCCTCCTTCACTGTCCCACAGTGCTGAAATGCTCTTGCTTTTCTTTTTAAAACCCAAACTGAGGTACTGACCTGTGTCCTGTATTGCCGTGAAGATACACCATAATTGGGTTTCCATCCTGAAGGGCTGCCTCATACCAGCAACGGTCCTTCCCCTTAGCGTCTTCCGCCCGGCAGCAGGGGACCGTGTGCCTAGAGGGCGAGGCAAGGGCTTCACAAGCAGGCACACAGGCAGGGAGTCTCTGCCTTGCCAGAGTCCAAGCCTTCCTTCTGTTCAATATGCAGATTTCAAATATTTATCTGACCGTATATGCACAAGGTCAAAATTAAAATCTTACATGAAAAAATTATCCCAAGAGAAGAACTACAATTGCCCTGAACTACTACACAATGCACAAAGACAATCCTTTTTTTTTTTTTTTTAACTATTTTCTATGTTAGTTCTTCTGACTTTTAGACACAATAAGCTTCCAATACTATAGTTTTTAGGTGCAGGCCAACTGGGACCTAAAGCCATGAGCCAAAACCTTTTTCTCTTTTAGGTTGTACAGCTCAGATATTTTATTCCAGCAACAGAAAGTGACTGATACACCATCTGCCACTGCTTTGGCAGAAAAGACAAGTTGAAAGGAATTTAAAGGGAAAACAGCTCAC